CTCTTCGGGCTCTTGTACACCTTTTTCTTGCTACGTGTGCGTGTTCTTTAGATCCTCAGATGGCTCCAGCACTTTCGTGACCACGGGCCGAGAGTCTTTGCTAGATTTTGGCATTTAGCAACTGGCATACGGTTTAATGTGAAGTCAACAACAACAACAACCATTGGGGGGTCTCGGTGTACTGAGACGGCATTTTGTTTGGACCTGCCAGTTGACATGGAAGGGGAACTTGGACTCTGCAGGAAAGAGGGAAGCGACTGGTGTCGTCCCCTCGTTATTGGCCAGAGAGTTTCCTTCCAGACTTCGTGGAAAATAATAATGAAATTGACACTTGGGCGGAAAAATACAAAGCCATGTGTTACGGTAGCCAGGCCCTTCCCCCGCCGGCGATCGCCGAAAACACCGATTTCTGAAAAATGCCACCGAAAAACAGCTGTAAAAAGTATCCCCGGAACAAAAAAAGTCCCCGACTCTGAAGGGGGCTCCGCCGGATCGAAAAAAGTGTCGCCGATTGTCGCCAAATAAATTCACGGTGCCCCCTGTACCTTCTTCGTAGCTATATACCAGCTGCACAGCTTCACATACGGCTGAACGGCGGTGCTATGTAGTCGCCTCTTTGCGAAATGAAAGCCTCCTCTAAAAGTAGTTGGGATAAAAGCAGTGAAAGCGAAGGAGATTCGGACAATGAGGTACAATTTGTCCGCCAAAAGACAAGTGCCGCGGCTGCCACCAGCGGCAGCGGTGGCAGCGGCAGCGGCAGCGGCAGCGCCGCGCCACCTGCTTCGGTTGCAAGAGCTTCGCCGCGTCTCTCTTCTGCTGGTTCTGCTTCTGCCAGCAGCAATGCCTCTGCACGACAAGGGAGAGTGTACAGCGACCGTGTTCGCGCTTCCTCACTGCTCATAAAAGTACAATAGATGCAAGGTCCAAAGTAGCTCAGTCGAGAAGGAGGAAGGGCCACGGAAAAAAAGGCGGTGGAGGCGACGGAAAAAAGCGATGAAGGCAGCGCTGAGACCTGTGATTTGTATATTTAGTGTTCATGTCTTTGTTGTGCCCGTGGTGGTATTTTTTGCCCCCATGTCGCGCGCCTTCATATCGTATTATTATATAAATATTCGATGTTGAGAGCAAGTTCGGAATATTGTACAGTGTCATGCTGTTTCTAGCAAAAAAGTAATAGATACTACTTCGTTCGCTATCGCCAGAGGTTGACCTCTGCGGCAGTCCAGCAGTCGACAGTCTCGACCCGCTCGTTTGTGTGTACTTCAGTGCACGTATGGGTCGCAAAAGCCGCTTCGTCGCTGAAGTTAAAAAGGCGAAAACAAGCAGCCGAAGATAATCGCCGAAAATGAAACAGGACTCAGCGACCCATGCTAATCGCCGAATGCCGAAAACAATGTTTTCCTCCATCAGTCGCCGGAAAAAAAAAGTAAATCGCCGAAAAAACAACGTCGCCGGCGGGTGAAAGGCCTAACGGTAGCGGAGTCTTCGATGGAGTTGTGTGTGGGGAACAGCTTCGCCAACGACGGGGGATAACGAACACGAAAATAAATGGTATGGGTTGGTCCCATGCCGTGGCAAAAAGCTTCATTTCATACCAAACAATAAATCGTCGACAGCTATTCCGCACGATATCACAAACGACCCAGCTATTTCGTTCACATGGCTCTGTCATAAAAAACGCCCCGTTCATAGCCCTTCATGTGACCTCCCTGAGATTTGTGCCGGCCGGCTCTGATGCCAAACCATTCTCCATGCGGCAAAAGGTGTTGATACGTTAATTTTGCAGGTTAGAACGAAACCAAAAATGTGGACGGATGGAGGCCGGATGCTGCACCATTCAAGCACAAAAATATCGACGGAACCACGGTTCAACTATTTGGCGTCTAATGTTTTGACCGAGCATAAAAGGAAAAGCCTTCGAGATAGCTCCGACTGCCACCGTCTTCGCTGTACAGCGACGTACACAGCACAACGTTGACAACTCATCATTTGTTTCTGTAACATCTTTGGGTAAGGGTTTTGTGTCGACAGACAGCAAAACGAAACTTTATGGACCACGTACCGAAACTGCTAACCTTAGGTTTCAAGGACTCCCAAAGCTTGGGGCAAATTGGAGTACCTTCGAAACTCACCACAGCGACTACCAGATTGACTCTGATAGCAAATCCAGCCTCCTTTCCGACCCGTACATCAAACGCAGAACATGCGTCTGCACAACTGCGGTCCGAAACATGCTGCTGCATGTGGTGCGCAGCCTTACAAAAAAAAATACACCAAACTTTGCACCAACATCAGGAACCTGCCCGGTATCCCGTATGTGATCAACCCACAAGCTCGGAAATGAGTGCGCAACTTTGCCGACTGTTCGCTACCCGAGAGTTAAACGCAGGGGGAAGGTTGAGAGTATTGCCCAACCGAAGGATGGTTTAAATAGTTGGGGTGCCTCGACGTGCTACCCCAACCCTGAAAGCTATGCTCGTATGCCAATGCCGACAGTTCAAGAAGTGAGGGCAAGTCGCGCATCAAAGCGAAGTCACGATAAATGAAGATGTACTCTTAAGGAACGGTCACAAGGCAAGGGGCCTCTCCCGTAACAGAGCAAAAGCGACCGGATGCCCGCACTCCACCGCCACAGCAGGCGTCTGAGCCACCGTCCCTGCCAGAGCACCCGGAACCTCCGCAGGACCCACAGCTCAAGGAGCAGCATACATCGCTCGCCTGGATGCCGACAATGCCGCCGTCGCACTCCGGAACTGTTCGGTTTGGATAATAAAGCCGTAAAATCACGTCGGAACAACTCAATGAGGGTGAGTGCAAGTGAGACAACCCCAACCAATTGTTATCCACATGACATTCTCCACCAGACGTCATTGATGGTCAATCGTGCATTAAGGAATTGGCGTCATAGCGGAAAAGTTATTTCAAAGTAAAATATGTGTTTACCTCTCAGACATGAAGGACGCGACAGTGCGAAACGTTTGAGCATATATAGCGGATGAGTCAACAAGTCTAAGTTTGTCGTGCATGCGAAATAGGCGCGACTGCTTTTCGTGAAACATGGAATATGAATCGATCTTTTTGGTCGGCAATGTAACGATGACCAGGATGTCAAAACAGCACGCGCAGTTTAAAGAGCCACGATATACCGTCGCGCGGAGAAGGGCGACTAACATGGTGTCACACGCTGGTATCTCAAACTGAGCACATGCTTATCTTGATGCAGGGACAACGGAATGCAGCTTACCTTCAACTGTAGGAGGCGGGGTAGGGGCCAGCGTAGGGGCCGCAGTGGGCGCCTGGCCTGTTTTACAAATGGCGCAGGCGTTGGTTCATAGGGTTGGTACGTGTTGCACGAAGACGTGCACTCCGTCGACGCACGAACCGAAATCAGGCACACTTTGCGTCTGTTTTCGATGGGGTCTGGAACTGAAATGCCATCAAATGCAGCTCGCAAGAGTCCATTAACGAAGCTTATCTTGAGCTTTATTATTATTATTAATTTCAGTTTCGCCTGATCGGCATCCCTCCCTCCTAATCATCGGACGTGGGCAGCGGAGGAAGTATATTGAAATATGACGCGATCGAGGGGGGTGAGTCGGAAAACAATTTTCACGATGGTTTTTCGATATTGTGAGTTTCACGTAAGTTCAAGAACTCACCCGTCATGCAGGGCGCTTCTCCCGTTACAGAACAGAAGCGACCGGAGGCCCTGACTCCACCACCACAGCAGGCGTCTGAGCCACCGTCTCTGCCAGAGCACCCGGAACCTCCGCAAGACCCGCAGCTCACAGAGCAGCATACATCGCTCGTTTGGATGCCGATGATTCCGCCGTCGCACATGGGAGCTGCTCGATTTGGATGACGTCGTTAACATCACAGCCGTGTCAATTCATATACAGGGATGAGGTCGAGTTCGCAAAACGACTTCGTCAATGGGTCAATCCAGCTTAACCTGAGATCTCGAGAGTCAAGGGTGAAGTTGTCTCAGTGAAACTCATGTTCGGCAACACCGTTAAGGTATTATTAGATTGGAAGCCATTCAGGCAAATGACTGCACGGTTACCCACGCGACCGCGCCAGACGCAGGCATTTGACGATCGGTCTTGTCTGTCCAACAGATAAAACACTGGAGGTTATTCCGGGCAGGCGCGCACATCGCTTGCTGTTGTGAAGACAGGGTTCTCAAATACAGCGTCCGTTAACCATTACCATGTATCTATGGAAAATGACTTGAACCACCAAGCCTGTTCGATTACAATGAGCAAAACCTATTGAACCATGTACGGTGCAATTATCCGGTTGCCAACATAATTAACATCTGACACATCTAACGATTTTGACCCACGGCTGCAATGACCACCGCTTACCTTCAATAGTAGGGGGCGGCGTAGGGGCCGGCGTAGGTTCCGGAGTAGGGGCCGGGCCTGTTTCACGAACGGTGGAAGGATAATAATTTCTTTATTCAGTGTTTCAAAAAAACGTTTCACGTGCCGAGTCGACGCGGACGAGGTGATGTGAGGCTTCCGATAGCGCTGCACTGTTGCCGATGAGGCCTACCACTCTTCGTTGTTTTATCACGTGCCCGATAAGAGGGAGGAATCGCAGTCTCGCAACCATGCATGGTTCAGAAAGGGTCACAAGAAGAAAAACCTCATGTGAGTTTGTCTCTTTCGGATTTCAAGTGTACTTCCATTAAGTCTATGGGCTCACCGGTAATGCAAGGCGCTTCTCCCGTCACAGAACAGAAGCGACCGGAGGCCCTGACTCCGCCACCACAGCAGGCGTCTGGGCCACCGTCCCTGCCAGAGCACCCCGAACCTCCGCAAGACCCGCAGCTTGCGGAGCAGCATACATCGCTCGTTTGGATGCCGATGATTCCGCCGTCGCACATGGGAGCTGCTCGATTTGGATGACGTCATTAAAATCACAGCCGTGTCAATTCCTTTAAAGAATGGGTTCAAGTTCGGAGAACGACAGACGTCACCAATAAGTCAATCCAACTCTACCTGGGATCTCGAGAGCCAAGAGTGAAATTGTTCTGTGAAGATCATTTTCGGCAACACCGTTGATGTATTCATAGACTAAATCCAGTCAAACAAATGACTTCACGGTTACACACGTGACCGCGCCAAACGCAGTCATTTCCCGATTGGTCTTCTCTGTCCTACAGATTAACACTGAAAAAGCTGTTGCGGGCGGGCGCGACACATCCATTGCTGTTGTGCAGACAGGGTTCTCAATGACAGCGTCCGTTAACCATTATCATGCATTTATGGAAAATGACCTGTACCACTAAGCCTTTCCTATTTCCATAACCAAAACCTTTAAAATCATGTACGGTACGAAATTCCAGTTGTCTACCAATCCCATATCGGACACATCCGAGGGTTGTGGCGCACGGCTGCAACCACCGCTTACCTTCAACAGTAGGAGGCGGCGTAGGGGCCGGCGTAGGTTCCGGAGTAGGGGCCGGGCCTGTTTCACGGATGGTGGAAGCACCCGTAAAAGCCAATGGCATTGTTGACACAGTGTTTCAAAAAACATGTTCAACGCGCTACGTCGACGCGGACGAGGTGATATGAGACTTCCGATGGCGCTGCCTGTTTCCGATGAGGTCCAACACTCTTTTGGAGTCATGTCCCCGATGAGAGGAAGGAATCGCAGTCTCGCGAACATGCATGGTTCACAAAGGGTCACAAGAAGAAAAACCTCATGTGGGTTTGTCACTCCTGGGGTTCAAGATTGCTTCCCTCGAGCCTATGGGCTCACCGGTAATGCAAGGCGCTTCTCCCGTTACAGCGCAGAGGCGACCCGAGGCCGTGACTCCACCACCACAGCAGGCGTCTGAGCCACCGTCCCTGCCAGAGCACCCGACACCTCCGCAAGAGCCGCAGCTTGCGGAGCAGCACACTTCCTTCGCTTGGATGCCAACGATTCCGCCGTCGCACATCGGAACTGTTCGATTTGGACAGACGTTATTTATATCATCCCCGTGTTGATTTCATTGAAGGGATGGGTTTAAGTTCGGAGAACGACAGACGTCATCAATAAGTCAATCCAACTCTACCTGGGACTTTGATAGACAAGGATAAAATTGTCTCTGTGAAGATCATTTTTGGCAACACCGTTGATGTATTGATAGATTGAAATCCAGTCAAACAAATGACTCCACGGTTACCCACGTGACCGCGCCAAACGCAGTCATTTCCCGATTGGTCTTCTCTGTCCTACAGATTTAACACTGAAAAAGCTGTTCAGGGCAGCCGTGCACATCGTTTGCTGTTGTGCAGACAGGGTTCTCAATGACAGCGTCCGTTAACCATTACCATGAATCTATGGAAAAATGACTTGTACCACTAAGCCTTTCCTATTTCCATAAGCAAAACCTTTTGAATCACGTACGGCACGAAATTCCAGTTGCCTACCTATCCCATACCGGACACATCCTACGGTTGCGGCGCACGACTGCAACCACCGCTTACCTTCAACAGTAGGAGGCGGCGTAGGGGCCGGCGTAGGTTCCGGAGTAGGGGCCGGGCCTGTTTCACGGATGGTGGAAGCACCCGTAAAAGCCAATGGCATTGTTGACACAGTGTTTCAAAAAACATGTTCAACGCGCTACGTCGACGCGGACGAGGTGATATGAGACTTCCGATGGCGCTGCCTGTTTCCGATGAGGTCCAACACTCTTTTGGAGTCATGTCCCCGATGAGAGGAAGGAATCGCAGTCTCGCGAACATGCATGGTTCACAAAGGGTCACAAGAAGAAAAACCTCACGTGGGTTTGTCACTCCTGGGGTTCAAGATTGCTTCCCTCGAGCCTATGGGCTCACCGGTAATGCAAGGCGCTTCTCCCGTTACAGCGCAGAGGCGACCCGAGGCCGTGACTCCACCACCACAGCAGGCGTCTGAGCCACCGTCCCTGCCAGAGCACCCGACACCTCCGCAAGAGCCGCAGCTTGCGGAGCAGCACACTTCCTTCGCTTGGATGCCAACGATTCCGCCGTCGCACATCGGAACTGTTCGATTTGGACAGACGTTATTTATATATATGATCCCCGTGTTGATTTCATTGAAGGGATGGGTTTAAGTTCGGAGAACGACAGACGTCATCAATACGTCAATCCAACTTTACCTGGGACTTTGATAGACAAGGATAAAATTGTCTCAGTGAAGCTTATTTTTGGCAACACCATTATTGATGTATTCATAGATTGTAAATCCAGTCAAACAATGACTCAACGGTTACCCACGTGACCGCGCCAAACGCAGTCATTTCCCGATTGGTCTTCTCTGTCCTACATATCAACATCGATCAGCTGTTCAGGGCAGCCGTGCACATCGTTTGCTGTTGTGCAGACAGGGATCTCAACGACAACGTCCGTTTGCCATCACCATGAATCTCGGGAAAAGCAACCTGTGCCACCAAGCCTTTCCGATTTCGATGAGCCAATACCACTACGTCATGTACGGGACGAACTTCTGGTTGCCAACATATCCCATATGGGAAACATCCTACATTTTTGACGCACGGCTGCGATGACCACCGCTCACCTTCACCAGCGGGAGGCGTCGAAGGAGCAGGCGTAGGTTCCAGAGTAGGGGCCGGGCCTGTTTCACGAATGGTGGAAGCACCCGTAGATACCAATCACATTGTTGACACAGAAAATGAAAAAAAAATTCAACGCGCTACGCGGACGCGGACAAGGTGATTAAGCCTTCTGACAGCGCTGCCTGTTTTCGGCAAGGTCTAACGCTTTTGTGTTGTCACTGCCAAACGCAGGCATTTGCCGATCGATCTTGTCTGTCGAAGATGTTCCGGGCAGGCGCGACACATCCCTTGCTGTTGTGAAGACAGGGTTCTCAAAGACAACGCCCGTCTACCGTTCCGATGTATCTATGGAGAAATGACCTGTACCACCAAAAAAAAAAAAAAAAAAAAAGCCTGTCCGATTTTGATAGACCAAGACTACATCATCATGTACGGTACGAAATTCCAGTTGCCTACCAATCCCATGTCGGGCGTCCTACGGTTTTGACGCACGGCTGCAATGACCACCGCTTACCTTCAACAGTAGGAGGCGGCGAAGGGGCAGGTGTAGGGGCCGGGCCTGTTTCACGGATGGTGGAAGCACGCGTAGATACCGTTGGATTTGTCGGCAAAGTGTTTCACAAAACATGTTCAACGCGCTACGTCGACGCGGACGAGGTGATGTGAGGCTTCTGATAGCCCTGCCTTTTCCTGATGGGGTCACGTGCCCGACGACACGGAAGAATCGCAGTCTCGCGAACATGCATGGTTCACAAAAGGTCACAAGAAGAAAAACCTCATGTGGGTTTATCACTCCTGGGGTTCAAGCTTGCTTCCCTCGAGCCTATGGGCTCACCGGTAATGCAAGGCGCTTCTCCCGTTACAGAACAGAGGCGACCCGAGGCCGTGACTCCACCACCACAGCAGGCGTCTGAGCCACCGTCCCTGCCAGAGCACCCGACACCTCCGCAAGAGCCGCAGCTTGCGGAGCAGCACACTTCCTTCGCTTGGATGCCAACGATTCCGCCGTCGCACATCGGAACTGTTTGGATTCGAAGTACGCGTCGTCCAAATCATTAAAGAAATAACTTGGGAGAGTTTAAAGAAAGGCAGACGTCATCCATGTAATTAGGGTGCAGTATTTTGTTTCAGCATGTTTTTTCGAGAGCCACGCCGTCTTTGAAAACAGATATTGCTGACCTGTATACACAGGATTCTTCCGTGAAGGCGTGACGTGTTTCACGCTGCAATGGAGGTTAAGAGAGCGTGTTATACGACCGCATGTTTTTGTTATTTTTATCACGATCAGGAAAAGTACGACGCATCACCTATTCCGTGCAATTTTGATCGGCCAGGTGCAAAAATGAGTCATGAACAGCGGACGCAGTCCACGGGATATCTCGGAAGAATTCTAAAGTATTTTGGCGCAAGGCTGAATATCGCCGCATACATTCGACCCTATGTGGCGGCGTAGGGGCTGGCGAAGGTTCCGGCGTAGGGTCCGGGGCTGTGTCACGATTGTTAATATCTCCCGTGAAATGTGTCATTGCGACGTGTTCCGAGAGAAAAAGATACACAAACCATGCGGACAAAAGAATTCAACTTGAGGCTTCCGATGGCGCTGCGTGTTTCCGATGGAGTCTCACAGAACCGTGTCGAAACGCGCCTGATGAACTTTTATAATCTTAGCTGCCCAACATGCATGATGGTAAGTTTTAATTATATCCTAAACTTAGGGTAATGTTTTGAGAGTACCGATATCCACACCTACCGACATTTTGTTTTGCGAGATTCCGACAGCATATAGAAAGGAAGGGCTACCGCTTCAATATAAAGACTCAAGACCTAGAGTTAGTCCAAGGAAGAGTTCGGCACTTTCTGTTACAAGTTGTGTCACTCTATCCACGAGATTACTGGTTTTGCGAGGCGCTACTCCCGGACATGTCTTAGGGTTAGGATTAGGGTTACACATCAGTTCAAAGCATCATGTTGCAAAGCAAGACAAGTCACACTGTTCTGGAATTCAGGTGCAAGTCCAAGCTGATGACGGGTGTATGTGTGTGACACGAAAAGTGGATTATACAGGCGTCGTTAAACGACAAAAAAACACGTCCGTCTGCGATACATGCGTTGTTGATGTTTATTCGAAACAGGCGGCAACGGAGAACCTAACATTCGGGTGTAGAGGCCGCTGTAGCATGGGCCGGCGTCGAGCCTGTTACGTGTTGAGCAAGTGTTCGCACAAACATTTTTCAGGTAATTCCAAATGTGAAATTGGACGTTTGACGATGTACATACGTTGAGAAGAAGACATTCCACTGAACTTGTTCATGGTGGGGGCCTGAAATTTGTCGATGAGCTCCTGAAAAATAATTCAGATAGTTAGGAGTCGCCTTCCCGGTCAGATCACACCACGTGTTGGATCCCTTCATATCAATACGTCAATAACAAGATTTTGAAAAATTTCCCTATAATATTAGTGCGGTTAGACGAGCGACCTAACCCCGGAGAAAGAAACAACTATTCAGTTTTCAAGAACGCTGTCGGAGAGTTAGGTTGTCCTTTCGTTTTCCCACACTATGCTGTGTCACGGGGGTGGGCAGGTAAGAAAAAGAAAGGTACATGTTGTCAGGAATGCGTATTTTTCAGAGGCAAACGAATGTAAGCTCACGCGAATGAACGATGGTACGGCAGTATTTAGGCAACACACGTCTTCGATACAGCGTATTCGGAGTACTATGGATATTATACTTTTTCGTATTGACAAACTTCAAACGCCGGTCGCACCTGCAGGACGATGCATATTCCTTGCATGTGCCGTGGTTTCAAGAAGCCGTGAATAAGGCAGAACATGTACAGGATACATGTGTCGGGTCTACGAACGATGCTATGTCCCAGACATTGAGATATGACGACAAGAGCCAAACATGAACCACACCTTCAGACGTAGGGGCCGGCGTGGCAGGGGCCGGCGTTGTAGAGGACGAGGCTGTTGCGTTGTGTTGTTTTAGAAGGAGCATGGCAAGAAAAGAGGACGTTAAGCTGGAAAAATTTCGTTGTTGCGGGTGGGAGTCCCACACTTGGTCAACGCGTCTGAAAGATTTTTCACAAGAATGGATTAACTTCGAACACACAAGGCCAAAAATCTCAAAATCTATCGCCAGTCTGGCCGACCCGTTGGTTTCAAGTGCTGGTATTTACCCCTTTTGCCTACAAATAAAATGAACCGTTCAAAATCCTGCACGGCCTCTCTTCCTCCGGTAAATCATTTCGCCCTCCTCGCTTCGAAATTGACTTGTAACGGTGAATTAACTTGTACCAGTTGCCTCACACTTTAATGGAAGGAGGCTCACGAGCACCAAGCAAACCGTTTCAGCACAGGCGCGCATTTGTTTTTGGGGTTAAGCCTTTGGATATCCATGCCATACGTGGTATCCATAACAGTTCGTCCACCTTTTATGTCGTCCCGTATTTGAGGCCATGCACGCGACCGCCTTTCCTCGATAGATGTTAAATGATGTCTTTTTCCGCTATACGCGAGTCGTTCTTTTTTTCGTTTTACTTTACACGACAATGCTAACAGCGGCGCGCCGATTGCAGGTGTTCCGTTCGCCCAGGTGAACGTACGTATCGAAAGTTGGACAAAAAATCAGAGATAGACAAAACTCACCATCGATCACACAAGGAGCTTCGCCGCACTCGATGCCAGCATCGAGGACGTTCGTTGTGCAACATGAAGCTGCCCCACCTGGTGCAGTCGAGCATCCTTCATCCCCGCACATACCGCAGGAAACCGGGCAGCTGATAGGGGGCAAAGAAAAAGGTCGTAATATCCACACAGGCGTCTCGGCCAAATTACAGATCTGTGTGTATGTGCGGTACCGTGGACAGGATTGTACATAACTGCATGTACGGTACTTGCGTGGACGGGGTTTGCGCAATGGAAGTAGACAGGGAAAGAAAGCAGTCCACCCAGCTGAGACCACACTAGTACGAGGAGTTGGCAAACTCAATCATCGCACGTGGGAGGATTTTGGTGTCCGTGAATTCGTGCCGATAGGACGGGCCAATCGTTCCATAGCGATATTTCTCTGGAGTCGTCCCATCCATGTGGATTCTGTTTTTTACACACCTACCTGCAGCCTGTTTCGTCAAAGAAAAAAACCTTTTGATACACCGAACCATTTGAAGCTTCACAACTACGACAAAAACAACCGTTGCCGTACCACACGTCCTTGTTCTGGATGCCGGAAATATCGCCAGTGCTGGTAGTGCACACCGAATCTGGTCGTAATAAAGCGCGCAAGTTAGCGGCCAAGCGTTGGTTAGTTTGCTCGCTGCAGGGCCGGGGGTCACTGGTGTATTGGTCGTGATTCGATGTTGGCGTTTCTTTCCATCTATTCTGAGACTTCGCCTTCAAGGCGTCTGCGCAAAACAAGAGACATGTTCAGCTGTAACTGTGCGGATCTATCTATGAAATTCTATTGCTCATACAGATGAAATACATAAGCGTTTGCCTGTGCAACCACCACGTTGCACATGTACATAATATGTAAGCAGCGTTAAATCATTTTCGAGCACGGTCAGGGGTTAGGACCTCTTTCGTGACGATGGTTCTCTTCTATCCCTTACGTTCTTGACCTCTCACAGGGGCGCAGTATAGTCGTGTGAACACATCGGGATTGAGCGCTGTACTCCTCGGGAATAAAGGCACGAAAACGGGGTGACACGTTGTCAGGGAGGGAAACCATTTGGCTCTATTGTGGGAGCACAAAGTTCAAGAAACGAAAAACAGGTAGACTCAAGTATGTCCGTGCCATTCGAAGTGATCGTTGGCCTCAGTCACGCTGCATGTCTGAACAAATATCTTCGATTAGCTTGACATGCCTACACAATTTGCCATTGATTTCTCGAAGCATAGGATTAATGTAGCGGGTTTTTCCCCCTCAAAATCGTTCATGAGATGGGGTGATGGTGAACATTTTTCGGTCCGGTATGGGTCTCCAGGGAATGATTCCATTTGATGGCAAATGTTTCGGCGGGCAGCCGCAACGAACGGTGCTGGCGTTGTTTCGCTGAACTGAACGTCAATTCCTGAGCACTTTGGGACACCCATGCGCTGAAGCACCGACTTTTATACCCTGGGCTAAGCAGCCCTGCCCAAAGTGACTTATTATGGTCTGCATACAGCTACAAATGACTAGCATGTTTTCCAAACGAATAGAATGGCCAGTGCGTCGAAGCAAGCGTCGGACAGTGTACTAACGAATGATCGGGTCCGGCGCAAAATTCGAGCGAGCTTCCTTGCTGAAGTATTCCTTTCAAGACCATCTAAAACCCACCAAGGTGAGCCGTTGGACAATGGCTTTCGTTATCTTTTTTTACCAATGACGTGTTACCCAACAGTTTTTCAAGCGTGCTTTGCCCCGTCTTCTTACCGTCGGTCTGGAGGCTGCGCCGATTGATGTTATCCGTTTCAGAGAGGTTTGCCTGTCGAAGAAAACGGTCGAACAAGACAATATTAATGTAAATTTGAGTCGAAGTATCCTATTTTTTTCGATTCGTCTCAACATCAAGTGGAACCACATGAGAGGAGTGAAAATTCCATCAACACCAAAGATTACGATTCACATTTGTGTTTCGCGGTGACAACGTGGTTCTGGGACAAAATAGAGTCGCAAGCCATCGCGTTGTTAGATCTTAATGTGGCGCAGACATGGAAAAAGGTGATTTTACTTGACACCTTAGCGATATGAGCCAGATGATGACCCCGAGTTGTACACAGAAGCCTCTTCGCTTCACAGGAAAAACAAACAAGTAAACATGACCCGCGGCACGTTGACGCCATAGATGCATAACCGATTGAGATTTTCCGACGTTTCCATAATTTAGAAGCACCTGGGTCCACAAAACAGCAAGGGGGGATTGAAAAATACGATAGCACAAAGATACAGTCAAAACAACATATTCGCCTGATTGAGAGCGAAGTATCTGATTGAGAGCGAGAGCCAAAAAAAATGAAATTTCGGGTCCAGACGCCTCTTGCCATTTCTTGGCAAGTAGGGGACGGGCTATTCCAAGAAGGGGTGCAAATTGAAGGTCTCATCAGCAGCTTCGCGAGCATATGCGTGTCATCGTCATCGGATGCTGCAGCGAGGAGCTAGACAAGTTGCTAGATTTGCCCAGATTGGCTATTTCTGCTCAAACTGTTTCAGGGCGGTATCGCGTCGGGCGGTGGGCTCTGCTGTAGCTTCTGCTCCCCGCTGTAGCTCCACAACGAGAGACTCCCACAGGATGACAAGGGTAGCGGCTTGAAGCTACGGGCTAGCCCTTCAATTCAAGCTACACAGCAAGCTCCACCTCTCAGTGGTAGTCCGGCTACAGCGTATCGCGCAATCTCGCTCTCAATCAGATGCTACGCTCTCAATCAGGCGAATATGTTGTTTCAAACACAGCCCACATGAGGTTATATCTGGGTGCCTGAATTGTACTGTGTTCAGGTGTTTTGTATCATAGCTTCATCCGGCGTGGCCTCGGCTTTCCCGTAATGAAAGGGCGGAGAGGGAATTAACTGTTGACCACAACGCAATACAGAGCCCCAATTAAGCGACGCCAAGTGTCATAACGAAATATGGTCGCTATGCAGGGCACGTTACTAAAACGGTTAAGCGACCATTGGTCGCTAAACCGGGACCCTCAACGGCATCGAGCGGTCGCTAAAACGGCATATAGGGCCCTTTCGTGGGACTACAAAGGCCTCGTAGCGCAATATTCTTGATCGGGTAATGTAGACTGTGCTCCGTATTGCACAAGTGACATAAAGGTAAAGGGAAAAAGCACCATAAGGTGGTCAACCTGGGAGTAGTTCCTTCACGGTTTTCATGCGAGTGAACCAGCATGCTCGTTAACGCTACGAGGTTCGTAGGAAATGTCGCAACAACAAGTGTACAGAGGGTGCCCTTTGTCATTTATGTTCTCGCATGCAGAATAATCTGTCCCAAAATGAGGAAAGATCAAAACATAAACACACACGAGTCACACCGGTCGCCCCGGTGGTCTAGTGGTTAGTTTCGCAGCCTGGTAAGGGCCAGGTGATGGGCAGAGTCCCGACAACGTAAGTATTTCCTCGCGAATTGAAATCCTGGTCTCCGTTGAGAGCGACGCGCTTCGGCTTGTTGTTAGTAAACTTGATCGACTTCACAAGTCGCGACGGAACGGATTGCTGTACCCTTCTCGCGATAAAAATATCTCAGGCAGGAACGGCAGTCGTGGTCCAACCCCCCCCTCCGATGTGACCCCGGTTGGGTCGTCCAGTTCGTAGAAGTGCAGCTTAGGGGCCAGTGCGGCAGACGACAGAGTCCAATTATGGGAGAAAAAAAAACTAATTGACGTTCGATCTGCAAATTTCAAAAAAAGAAGGCGGAAGAGGGGGAAACGTTACGGCACATCCCAAAATAAAAAAACGAAAAATACCCCTGGATGGCACGGAGAGAGTTCGTGAACGCGTGAATGGCAAAGACCCTCCCGCTTCTAGGGACTTCATTATGCTCCTGGTACGTGTTACCGATCATGTTCTACTTAACATGTCTCTGATGTGCATCTGTCGCGCTGGTTTCGTTGAGTGTGCTTCGATGCACAGCAACTTTGGCTTGCCAAGATGGTACCCTACCTCGCTTCGTCAACAACGCCTCACACTCTTGAAGCGATCCAAATTCCGATAACTCCGAGTAGGTCGGCGGCGCCATCACTTCTCCGCCACCCGCACCCCCAACTTTTCCAGCCTCATTTACCTCTACTTTACCTTTTCGTCAAATGGATTCTGAACGGGCGAGAAAGCCTGCACGTTCTCAGATGCACACTCGTGGCAGGTGCGGTACATCTCGATGCCATCGAGAACCTCCACCTCCCTACACATCATACACATCGGTCGCCTCGGTGGTCTAGTGGGTAGCCTTGCAGCCTGCTAAGGACCAGGTCATGGTGTCGAGTCCCGGCAGAGAGAGTTTTTTTCTCACTAAATAAATCCTGGTCTAATAGAGCGACGCGCTGCAAAGCTCGTTAGTTAGTACACCATAATCGAATTCGTATGTCGTGAGGAAAGGGATTGCTGTACCCTTCTCGCGATGAAAATACCTCAGGCATGAACCGCAGGAGGGGGTCCAACCCCTCCCTCCTTTGTGAACCCGGCGGGGTCGTCTAGCTAGTAGGAGTGGAGGATAGGGGCCAGAGGGGCAGACGGCAGAGTCCAATGANTAGAGCGACGCGCTGCAAAGCTCGTTAGTTAGTACACCATAATCGAATTCGTATGTCGTGAGGAAAGGGATTGCTGTACCCTTCTCGCGATGAAAATACCTCAGGCATGAACCGCAGGAGGGGGTCCAACCCCTCCCTCCTTTGTGAACCCGGCGGGGTCGTCTAGCTAGTAGGAGTGGAGGATAGGGGCCAGAGGGGCAGACGGCAGAGTCCAATGATGGAGGAATAAACAACCAAAAACCAACAACATCACGTAAAGCGTGCACGGAAGCCACCGTGGCAAGCATGCTCCATGGGTGCCCGCAGTTCCACATCCGGCTGTTTGCGCGTCTCTCGTTCGGCGCAGGGCATGTTGCGTTTGTGTACGTTTCCCGCGGTCGTGTTTTTGTGTGTGGAGGAACGCGGGGTCTGCGCAAAATTTGAGCCGATGGTCGCTATTGCCCGCTGAAAAAAAAAGCCTGGTAAGTCGCTACTGAGGGTTCGACCGGTTGGCGACCATGTGGTCACTAAACCGGGGTGCAACGGTGTCACAAGAATTTGGGGTAGCTAGACAGGGCATGTCGCTAAACAGGGATCGCTTAACCGGGGCCAAAAAACATAAGAGAGATTCACGCCGCGAAAAGAATCAAAAATCGGAAGTGCTCGATGCACGATACCTCGTTGCGAACGTTCAAGCCCCTGAACGCCGAGCCGGCAGAGGCCGGGGTTCCGCTGAGTGCAAGTAGCACGATAGGAAGGATAGGCACGACGCCCATCGCTTTTGCAGTCATAATCTTCATCTTTGAAATCCTCCTGCGTTAAAGAAGGGGCAATTAACGTTCGAGAACGCAACAATGTGCGGGTTACGAGAGGGATTATTGCTTATTTTGATATGTAGCTAGGCAACCGATTGTTCAGACCGTTAACAGTTTCCGTTTTGCATATTGTGAACATCGCGTAGGACGGTGTTTTCAACGAAGCTGGAGGCTACCCCGAACGGATGTCCGCAACAGTGTTTCCGCCGCACTGTACTTGGGGTCGATGCATCCAGCGAGGTGGCAACTTTGAGTCGAGCGGGTCCGCCAGCAAACCAAACTGGACGTCTTTTTGATTTTATCTTCATGCACCCAAATAACATTAACTAACTAACAAGAGTAGATCGTCCGCCACTTGTAACAAGCGTTCGCCGAAACTTTTGATCGGGCTTCTGTGGCCGACGGAATGCCTAACCGAATGGTGCAGGGTAAAACTCTACGAAACAACTTTTGCCAAAGCAGGAAATGTGGCGCTGGCTTCTTCGGGAATGGTCGGGAGAGAGGCACGATATAAAAATAGGGGCGTCATTAGCAGCATTTTCCAAAGTGTGTTTTTTGGCGAGTTAGCCGAAACTTTTGGTCGGGGTATGAGTTTGAGCAAGAAATGTGGGCACACTGTTGAAATAACGTCCTTGACCAAAAACAACTGTACAAATTTCCGGCGGTTGTGCGCGCAAAATTAACTGTATCAGAATCACGGGGAAGGAAAATGTCGGTACAGCCTAATCCTTGTTGTGGATGCTCTGTTATCTGGAGTGGAAATTAAGTGGATATTCAGAAAGTTTAAGCACACAAGAAATAGACGCGCTCTTTCGAGCCCAAAATTGTTTCTTTAAGTTGAGATTGAGAACTAGCACCCCATCGCTTTGGCGTTCCAGAGGAGACTGCGGACCGTTCGAAACAGTCGTGACTGTCGTGGCAGAAATCGGGACGATGAGCATCCACGTGCACACGTTTATTCGTCAGAGCGGGCGTTTTTCAACTCTATTTCATCAACAGCATCAAGCGTGTCGCATTGCTTATTATCTCGCCGTATGCTCATATCCCATCAGGACCCATTCCGAGCTGTGTGGTAAACGACTTGGGACGGTTCCGTTTTCGTAAACACCCTTCAACAATTGCACTTGTTCCGCTGCACAAATCACCAGTTGCTCGAATTTGGCTCGTTCGAGATTTGCAATGGACGCTCGGGGTGTGGCATGACGTGGACGGTTTCTCAAGTTAAGTTTTTCATCCCCATGAACCTACGGCGGTTGGTTGGGCCATGCTATCAAGAGTGAAACGCAAAGAATTCTTTGAACAGCTGTTGGCGGAATTGGTGTTTTTTAGTAATTTGTTTTGGGGCACAACGTCCATGGCGCCACGAATTGCTTGGGCGCCAATGAAAAACGACACTGGGTATTGTGTTCAGGGCAAACCGAGTCTACCAAAGATTTCTTGGTTCGCGCTCGATGCAGTAGGTGGGACTAGCAAAAAACTGAGTAGTCAGCGGGGTGGTGACGCGGCCAGGCAGGTATTTGACAGCCAGAACGCCGCCGACCGACTAGCTAGAGTGAGAGTTTGGCGCTAAGACTGAAGGCCCCATCTCAATTTTCAAGTTTGACCTACGGTGAGTCTTTGTGAGCATTGATAGGGCTTGAGGAACCTCATCCCACGGATTCGCGTAATAAGGGAACCGGCGTTGCCGCCACCACAGCGGTGCAGGGCAAACGTCGCCGACTTGCGATGTCGTGGGCGTTCGGGGCTGGGGTTCAAAACATTACATACAGCTGCTTGGGGTTACGACCGACTTGATATTGTGGGCGCTTGGAGCTACGGCAGTAAATACCTTATCCCCGATTTGTGGGTCTTCATTAAGATCTTCATGTAGAAACGCGAGACCAGAGCTGGTAATTGCCAAAAGAACCGAAACACTCCACTCACCGGCTGAGGAATGGATAGCTGCGGAATACAAATGTGAGCGGGGTGCGGCTCGGAAGGCACCAGTGGTCGGAAATAACGGAGTGCACGGCGAGGGTGGTGAAAATCGGCGGACCTCGAGCGCTGTTGGTCGCGGCGTCATTGGGTTCTTTTCACCTGGCAGCGCCGTTATGACTAAGATCCAACAAGGAACGGTGAGTGCGGACACCGATCTTGAGTCACTTTCCGTACCCCCGGCAGGACAGCAGACTAACTGTATGAACTACTGTACGCGGCAGAGGACAACAGTGCTGGATAGTGCTGCTCAGGAAGAACTTGAAAGCTGATACTCAAGTACAGCAGTACTGTAGTTTTTCTTTGGTACCGTAGTATACTTCTTCCTCTCCCTTCACTTATAGCCCTGACGGAGATAAGCGTATGTTCTGTTTTTCTAGCGCGAAGGCTATGTGCGTGCGTGATGCACAAGTTTGCGGAGGCACGACCAGACGAGAAAATTTGCGAACATCTCACTACTTCTTATCGATGGTCTGCAGGTGCTGACATTCGGGATTTTGGTGAGGCTGGCAAGACATTCCGATCCTGGGAAACTAATATGTTTCTGGAAAAACCCGAAAAAACAGGGCCCAAGATCTCAGATACCCCGAAATCGCCTTGCCCACTGCGTGCAGTTCAGTCTTTGGGCACGCATACGGTGCCTTCTTCCCCTCGCTCCTCGACAAGCTTTTGCTTAGACATGGGTTGTAGTGAAGGGGGGGGTCTTTCTGGCGAGCAGGGCTAGACTCACCCTCAAGGGATGACCGAAACCTTCTTGCTGCTGCGCATATCCGCCGCGAGGCATGCGCGTGGTGGTGTAGTTGGGTCGGCACTGATGGGGT